CCCGAGTAGCTGGCACCACAGGCACCTGCCACCATGTCCGCCTAATTGTTTGTATTTTTAGTAGAGATGGGGTTTCACCGTATTAGCTAGGATGGTCTCGATCTCCTGACCTCGTGATCCGCCCGCCTCGGTCTCCCAAAGTGCTGGGATTACAGGCCTGAGCCACCACGCGCGGCCGGCATTGTGTATATCTAAACATGGTCATAGTCTTTTGGGAATTTGTTGTATTTAAATACATTGAGATAATTGTATAGTTTATCTCTTTCATTTCATAAGTTAAGAAATAGGGCTATTTTTAGAATTAGGTACGGACAGGGAGTTATTCAGGCAAAATAAAAAGGGAGAAAAGAGGTGCTATTTAAACAGCCATATCTGTAGGCTCAAACTGTTCTCCTCATGGGGAGACATACATCACAGCCAGATCACAGTCCCAGAGGTGAAAATTGATGGCCTAGGATCAAATTTGTTATTAGCAGAACTAAGACTTGAATTTTCTTAAAATGGTTTGTAAATGGTCCTGTAAATGACCAGTGAAGATATGAAATACTCATAGCATAAGAGCTGTTGCTGTGTTTGCTTCTGTGGGTGTGCATGTTTGGTGCAGGTGAAATTAGGAAGGGGACATTGAATGACTAATAGGTGAGGCCACGAGGCGTAATGGGACAAGGGACATTAAGACGGGAGGCTTGTTTCTAATCCCAGGACTTTCTCTGAAGCCTGACACTATTGGACAAATCTCACTGCACCTCTTAATTTATAGAAGTTTCCTCATCTATAAATCGAGGGGTATATACTCTTTCGTGACAGCTTAGTTCTCGATTTCTTAGACTCTATATTATTAGATTAAAAATATGAGAATGGGGTAAAATAATCACCAATTTTTATCTTGCAACCCAGAAAATACTAGAAAAAGAAAAGTTCAAATCCTCTGGTGCTTTCCTTCCTGGGGTATCGGATGTGGTGATGGTGATGGTGGTGGTGATGGTATTTCATAGTCAGCGTGCCCCTCCATCCTCTCTGCCCCTTCCTTTCACCTATTGACTACCTCTGCCATATTGATTTGTTATTGCTTGTGAGATAATCGGAAGGGCACGATAGCTCTCAGGTATTTGGAAGGAGAAGAGGTAGATGGTTGAACTCCACTAGCAATGTTTCTGGAGAGGAGGGGTATCTTACAGCCCATTGGAAGTTGAGAAGCAGAAAACTAATGATCAGAAGAGTTATCTTTGCTTATGGAGATGTGGACTGAGAATGTGGCATATTTTTTATTATAAGGCATTATCTTCTTCTGTGGAAAACACCTGAAAACTGGAAGCAGGTGTTGCATACGGCAATCTCTGTGTCCTCCACTCCCGACCCAAGTAGACAGAGAGCTCTTCGCTTGAGCTGCACAGAGCTCTACAGAGCTGCAGACTCTGCTATCATCTTTTCTCAAAGGGCCTGACAGCATTTCCAGCTCTTCTTTGTGTATGAGAGCTTCTTTTCAAGAAAGTTTCCGGAGACAGATACCACAGTGTGAACGTAAATGTGCACACGTATGTGTGTGAGTATGCAAGAACGAAGGAACCATGAGATATCACCAAAGCTCTTAGGTGATTCGTTTGCTAAATGAATGAGTTTCTTTTATTGGAAATATTTACTGAAGAAGTCTTTCTTAAAATTGCCAGTGGGTTGAAAAGGGGTAGGATGACTGGATTCCAGGACCAATGACAAAATAAACATAGAAGCTGGCACCATTAATTGATGCTTACAGTAGGTCAGACTTCATTCTAAGTGTTTTTCTTAGATTTAAACCTCACAACAACGCTAGGGGATGGGTTTGATTATTAGCTCCATTTTACAGATGCAAAGACTAAGGCGTAGAGAGAAATGCTTTCTTCCTGAGATTGTATAGAGGCAGAACTCCAGCTTTTGCATGAATATTCTTAATCGCTAGGTAATACTGCCTCCCATAGCAAAGGGGCAGCCTCTTGAAACCAGAAAGACAGTGAGAAATATGTGGGAGTGGGGAGCTGAGCTGCCCATAGAGGCGATGGGTGTGCAATGCCAGTGATTTCCCTGGTGCCGCTGTGTACTAGTCTGTTCTCATGCTACTAGAAACACCGGAGACTGGGTAATTTATAAAGAAAATAAGTTTAATTGATTCACAGTTATACATGGCTGGGGAGGCCTTAGGAAACTTGTAATCATGGTGGAAGGTGAAGGGGAAGCAAGCTTGGGCCTTCTCACGTGGTGGCAGGAGAGAGAAATGCAACCCGGGGAAATGCCAGATGCTTATAAAACCATCAGATCTCATGAGACTCACTCAGTATCATGAGAACAACATGAAGCAACCCGCCCCATGAGCCAATCACCTCCTACTAGGCCCCTCCCTGGACACATGGGGATTATGGGGATTAAAATTCCAGATGAAATTTGGGTGGGGACACAGCCAAATGATATCACACGTAAGCCCCACTTCTGAAAGCCTTGTCTGTGTGTGTGTGTAGATTTCTCACTTCCCTTAGAGGAGGTGTGCTGGTTTCTAGGTCACATTGGGTGAAAGCTTGGCTGATGTTGAGATGCGAGTCACCCTCCAGTGCCAGCTACCTTGGCTGCTTCAACATACTCTTCTGTGTGTGCACCAAGTTCACATTTGTTCCTCTGAAAACGACTTTTTGTTGTTGTTGAGACAGGATCTCTCTCTGTCGCCCAGGCTGGAGTGCAGTGGCAGGATCGTGGCTCACCGGAGCCTTGACCTCCCAGGCTCCATCGATCCTCCCACTTTAGCCTCCTGAGTAGCCAGGACTACAAGCATGCATCACGACACCTGACTTATTTTTGTGTTTTTTCTTTTTTGTGGAGATGGGGGTCTCCCTATGTTGCCTAGGCCTGTCTAGAACTCCAGGGCTCAAGTAATTAGCCCACTTTGGCCTTCCACAGTGCTGGGATTACAGGGCAATGTGCCTGGCCTGCAGATGACATTTCTGTTGGAGTCCTAGACTCATGGCGCCGACTAAATCAAAAGACTTTCCTGTAATATTCCCTCCCCTCAGAGGTATCCTTTACCTGGTTTTTCATAGAGGGCTGCAGCGTTATAATAAAGGACAGGGGAACTTTTCCTGAAATGGCTTTGTGATGGAGGTGGCGTGTGCCAAGCAGTGCTTCTGGAAGCTTCTCTTGGGGTATATCAGAGGTGAGACTGGAAAGGTAGAAAGAGTGTGGTAAGGAGACTATTGCTGTGGTTTGGGGGAGGCCGTTTTCACTCAGTTTAGAGAGGTGGTATGCCCATGTGAGGGGGCAAATTGTGTGAAACCTGAATGCCCGGGAAGCAATGCCTAGATTCATGAGATAACTGAATGTGAGCCTGGTCCTCTTTCATCCTGCAGCTGTGTGTACATGTGCTTCTGAGTGCCAGCTTGCATGGGGGCTTCGTCCTCCCTAACTCTGTCCATACCATAGGGATGTTTCTTGGTCATCTCAAGGCTATACCCTTGGGCCACTTTGGCTGTCACTTGTCACTTCTACTGGGACATATGTCCAACTTATATATTTACCCCCTCCCCACGATAGTGAAAATAGTCAACATTTATGTCTTATTGTTGTTGTAAAATTTCTCTCTTTGTTCCATAGAAGTGACCTTGGACAAACCCATTATAACAACATCTTTGGCTTCTTGGAGATCCCGCCTCATGTTCATTTGCATCTTAGTTTGTTTACCTTTATGTGCCAGCATCTTCTTGCCATTATTATTTGTACTGGGGCTGACTTTCTCCTCCCTTCCTCTTTGGGGTGCTGTTGGTGCACATCCCTGCCCCATCTTCCCATTTACATGATGCCAGGATTTCAGTTAGAGGCTGAAGCAAAGAATACTGAGGGAGGTTAATGAGTTATTTCTAAAACCTGTAACACTAGAGTCCAAAGCCCGGTGTAACTAATCTGTATTTTTTTTCCCTGTGCTCTACTGATCTCCATTGCATATTTCACTGTTCTTCCCCTTCTTTGTTGAAATTGATAGTTTTCTTTTCTCTGATTTCCTATTTTGCCCTTGGGCAGTGAAACTGACTCTTTGAAGCCCTTGATGTCATCAGTTTCCGTTGGTTTATATTTCTTTCTTTTCTTTTTTTTAAAACCAAATTCCATAAACTGAAAATTATATTTTTATGTGTGTGTGTGTGTGTGTATATATATATATACACACACACTATTTATTTATTTATTTTTGAGACAGGGTCTCACCTTGTCACCCGGGCCAGAGTGCAGTGGGGTGATCACAGCTTACTGCAACCTCCACCTCCCAGGATCAAGGCATCCTCCTGCCTCAGCCTCCTGAGTAGCAGGGACTATAGGCATATGCCACTATACCTGTATAATTTTTGTATTTTCTGTAGAGACAGGTTTTGCCATGGTTCCCAGGAGCCTGGCAACCTCCACCTCCCAGGATCAAAACATCCTTCCGCCTAAGCCTCCCAAAGTGCTAGGATTACAGGTGTGAGCCACCATACTGCACCCAAGTTCATAATTCTAAACTTTTATTACATACTGAATCCATCCTACAAGGTAGAGTACTGTGAACCTCAGAGCATTGCTTGAATTCAAAATCTTAATTATAAAACATGGTGAATTTAGGTGATGATTAAAAAGGAAGACCTATGAGGGATGTTTTTACATCGTCTTGCTTAAGTGAAACTCGGTTTCAGAATGGAATGCCCATGTCCTTTTATTTATTCCATGTAGATCAAGAGAGTCAGTTAATGACTTACACTTACCGTAATTATGTACAAACACACCCCACTTATTCGTTAGCTTTCTCACCAATCTCAAATGTGTATTTGTTGACATCTTGAATTCCTCTTTGTACTCTAAGATCCAAGGAAAGTAGTGCTAACCATATTCTTAGAAAGAAGATGCTTTTGAAGTCAAAATTATTATTTTATTTTCTTTGTTCTTGAAATTTTTATAAACTCTTCACTTTCTGGGATCGATTAAAAATAAAACTGCTCTCTTTTTATATTTTGTAGAAACTACCTCTTCAGGTTACAGCTTGAGGATCTGTCTCTCATCCAGGTAGGTGCAATTTATTTTTCTCAAGCTTTCATTTTCCATCCCAATTAACTCACTGTTTGAGGAGATGAAGACAGATGTATGTAAAGGTGTTAATCCAGGCTGAGCAGGGGTTCATTTCCTCAGCGGGTCAGGCCTCAGGACTAAGGCTGCCCTACTTGTTATGAGTCATCACCTCCCTTAATTCCCAATTAGCCTTTTCCTCCTGCCAGGTGGCCCTCTTTGTTCCATGGATATGATCCTGATTTATCCTTCCTTAGATGAGAGACCATTCAAGGAACATTACCTCAAAGCCTGGATGCATTCATTTCCCCACAGCAATCATCGATTATTATTTAGATGCATCAATTTCTTGTAAAACAGTTTTGTTTCCTCTTTATAATTTATATTAACATAAATATGAATACTTGGGTTAAAAGCTAACTCTAACAAAGAATAAAGGGAAATAGATCAAAATGAAATTTACCTCCTTCTGTTGTTGCGGTTTGGACAATGGACCTGAGATCTTGTGCTTACATGAAGTATTTATTTTAGTAGCAGATCTGAGTCACAAAAGCCCACTTTTCCCTCTAGTCTTTAAAAAGTGTCTCCTAGAAAATAAGAGAGTTAAGACACAAATATCTTCTTCACCAAGATTCTGGAACTCCCTATGGACCATGCCAGAATCTTTGGGCTGTGTAGAGTTTGGAAAAAGTTCTTCAACCCATTTTAGTCTCACTCTCATGTACTAGAGCTCTAAGAAGTGATTGGAGAGGATTTTATATTATTTTATTCTCTCTTTAATGCTGCTGCTTGTGAGCATTCGGGGATCTTCAGAGCTAGATTTTAGTATTAGATCTATCTTTTACTTTAGCAGGGTGTTAAAATCAGCCAATCCCATGATCAAAGCTAATATTGATTAAAAAGCAAGGGCTTTGAAGACACATGGACCTTATTTGTGATCTAGTTCCATAACTTTCTAGGAATTATTGGTTCCTCATCTGTGAAATGGCCACAGATCACTACCAACTCCATATTAGCATGGTAAAATATAAGTAAGACATTCAAAAGAGATAAAACATAGCAATTTATCAGTAATTTTTATTGTTTTTGATTTTTTAAAGTGCTAATAATAATAATGTCCATTGTAATAGTTTAATCACAATTGACAATAAATTGTCTTTCTACTGCAATTTAGTATATATCTGGAGTCTTTCATTGAGCTAATTGAGTGGTAAAATTATGAATTTATTATTACGGAATCAGAATGATCAGCGATTTGAAGACATTATTTTCGGTGAAATAAGCCAGGCACAGAAAGACAGATACTGCAAGAGCTCACTTATGTGTGAAATCTAAAAAAGACAAACTCTTAGAAGCAGAGAGTGGACTGATGGTTTCCAGGGGCCTGGAAGGTCAGGGAAGGTGTTAGGGAGATGTTGGCCACAGGACAAAAAATTCCAATTAGACAAAGGAATAAGTTAAAAAGATCCATCGTATGACATAGTGACTATAGCTACTAACAATGTACTATATGCTTGAAAATTGCTAAGAGAGTAGATTTCAAGTGTCCTCACAACCTAAATAAATAAATAAACAAATAAAGGTATGTGAGATACTTGCATGTTAAATAGCTTGATGTAGCCATTCCACAACGTATACATATATCAAAGTGACATGTTGTACACTATCAATATATACAATTTTTATGTGCCAATTAAAAAAAAGCGATCAAAAATTTAATCAAAATGCCATTTTAAAGATTGTTTTAGACAGCATTTTCTAAAATCTGTATCTTTTAGTAGATAGAAACTACATATATTCATTTTGATTCTCATGGTATACTCTCTGGCATATCACATGTGTTAAAAAGTGAGCTTGTGTGTGCACAAGCATATATTTACATATACACATTTATTTCCAAATTTACTAGCTCTGTCAGCTGAGAGGGTTTAGAAGTATTGTCTTAGTAGCAGTGAACACACTTCATACACGTTACTTTGTTTCTAAACTTAATTCTCCATGAAAACAGATGAAGGATTTCTTGAGAAGTGACTTAATTTAGAGTTGGGCAGGGAGAACTCAGATAAGACTGGAAGAGCTTGTTGTTTCAGAAATTAAGGAAAATATTTAAAGAATGATGAGGGTGTGTCACAAGAAACTAGGAGCCAGCTTGAAGTGAGCTCACTGAAGAAATCTGGGACAGTTTGATTGTCAAAATAGATAATGCCAGTAGTAGATTATAACACATTGAAAAACATAAGAATCCATGAGTAGATACTAACATAAAACATAAATGAATGAGTAAACACATGCCAACTAATAAATATTGAAGGAATAAATTGATTAGGAGATCATTATTTGGCAACCATTATACTAAAAATTGACTTAGGCAAAAGTGATCAATGGATGCTTAATTTATGGGTCAGAGTTTGATGACAGCCAGAATATTTTTATTAATAGTAGTCTTAAAGTACTTACCTATATGATACTTATTAATTACAACAGGAAAACTTATAACTTGATAGTAAAGAAATCTGGCAAATAGCCCATGACCAAATACTCAAAGATCAAGGGGAACTTCACCAGCAATGGGACGGAGTTCAGTAATTTGATGCATGGAGGACACAACAAGATGTCCTTGATATTTCAGCCAAAAATTATGACTACTAACCTTATGAGGAACCATCAGATACACTGAGGGACATCCTACAAAAAAAAAAACTGGCCTCTACCCTTCAGATATCACAAAGTCATGAAAGGTATGAAAAAAGAATAATAAAGAGCTGTTCCATCACAAAACTGAACAAATAGACATGGGGTTCAAACGCAATACTTGACTCAAATTGAATCTTGGAGCAGATATATTTTTTCTTACTCTAAAGGACATGATTGGGACAACTGGAGAAATTCAGATGTCTGGATAAGATAGTAGAAATGTATTAATATTAATTTGTTGATTTTGATAACTGTAATGTAGGAGAATGTCACTTTTTTT